CACCCCCCGCTCGCTGAACGGCAGGTCCACCGCGTCGGCGATGAGGCCGACGACGCCTTTCTGGCCGTGGCGGGAGGAGAATTTGTCCCCGGGCTCCGGCGCGCGGACCTCGCGGGTGAGGACCTTGATCTTCTGCGCGACGTCCATCGCGCGGTCGCTATCGCCTGGGGGGCAGACCACGACGTGGTCCACCACCGCGGGCTGGGGGTATTTGTAGACCAGCGGCGTCGGCCGGGCCTCGCCGCCGGGCATCGGCGAGTACTTGTTCACCAGCACGTCGTTCTGCGCGACCCGCGCCCCGCGGCTGGCGATGCCGTCCGGGTTTAGCGCCCCGTAGCGCCCGCCCCCGGCGTGGGGGTCGGGGGGCAAAATGACGTCAAACTCCCCGCCGCGCAGCTTCAGGACGTCGACCTCGTGTTTGCGTAGCACCACACAACGGCCGTAGCCGCGCTCGAGGGCCGCGCGGTTGTAGACCTGCGCGTCCTCGATGTCGTAGCCGCTATAACTCATCACGCAGACAATCGCGTTGATCCCGGCGCCGAGCTGCTCGTAATGGGTGAGGTTCATCGCCTGGGAGCGGCAAAGCGGGCGCTGGGGGTAGGCCCCGATCAACAAAATCGTGTCCGCGCGGTGGTATTGGTTCAGGCTGATGGTGCCCATCGCCTGCTTGCCCATCGCGCACTGGAAGGTGTTCCGCGCGGACTGGTTATGGTGCAGGTACGGGATGATCCCCGCGACGATCCCGAGCAGAGAAAGCGGCTCCACCTCCATATGCGTCGTGTAGGCCGTGATATCCCGGGGGTACACGGCGATTAGGCAGTCGTTGGACTCGTTCACGTCGACGTATTCGATCAGGCCTTCGGCGAGGAAGTCGCCCAGGCTGCGCAGCCCATTCCGCAGGAGATCTAAATGGCCTAGCGTGATCGCGGGCTTGCCGTCTCGAACGAGCATGAGAATCCGCACAATTCGCCCGCCATCGCAGCTGATCTGAACGGCTTTTTGGTGGTCCTGGGTGCAGATGGAAACGTGCGGGTGCAATCGCCCGCTCCGCCGGAGCTGGCGAATCCCCAGACAAAGCCGATTCGGATAGCGATGCACGCCGATCAGCGTACCGTTTAAGAATACGCTGTGGTAGCGGCGAAACTCCTCCGACGTGATGGTGTCGATTTCCTCCACCCCAAAGCTATGCGCCGCCGCGCGGACGTAGGTGTCATCTAAATCGAGTGTAATTTGGCTTAAAATGGCGAAATTCTTCACCAATCCGCAGCTTTCTCCCTCCGGGGTATCGCATGGGCAGACCATTCCCCACTGGCTCGGCTGCAGCGAGCGCGGACCGCTGATCTTTCGCGTGCGCTCGAACGAAGAGGCCAAACGCGTCATCATCCCAAGGCAGGCGATATACGAAAGCCGTGAAAGAACCTGCGTAATGCCCTGACGGCTCATGTTAAACCGCTTCAGTTCCCAACGCCCGCTGCTGATGGCAATCCGCATCCCGTTCTGAATCACCTCCATCTTACTCTCCATGAGCTGCTTGACGTTGAAGGGCTTTGTAGAGTCTTTTTTCGAGAACTGCTGATCCATCCCGGTCTTGACGACCCGATTGAACTGTTTTAAAAGGTCCTCGAAGAGCAAACTCATTAGCGTCCCTGTCGTCTCAAAGCGTTTATTCCCGTAAAAATCCCTTTCATCGAGCAAGGAGGGGTTGTCGCTCGCTTCGATCATACGGCGTACTATATAGCAGACGTAGAGCGCTTTGTGGTGGAAATTCCAGTCATGCTGCATTTCTCCTTCGCGGATATGACAGAGCAGCACGTTCGCGAGGAAATCCGCTGCTTTATCGGCTTTGGATTTCTGAACCGTCCTCCCCGCGGTGTCGTCAGTTTCCCAGACCGATTCCTTTCTTCTTTCCCCCACAAAACGCAGCGCATCCTCCTGCGTGACCACCCCCATCAACGCCGCGTCGTGAAAGCACGCGAAAAGGACTTTTTGAAACTCTGGCGTAATCCCGATGTTCTGTGCGATGTTCTGATCGTTCACCAAGCCCAGGGCTTTTAACATGATCACGATGGGAATATCCTCCGTGAACGAGCGATGGCTCATGTAGATCTTGCCCTTCTTCATGAACACCGTGCACATGGAAATGGAGTAATGGGTTTTGCTTTGGACGTGCGCTCGTATACTGCCATGATCGTCCGCCTCAATTATGATGCGGTTTTTGCTTTGTTGTTCCTGCACGAGGCAAACCTTCTCAACGCCTTTAATGATAAAGTAACCACCTGGATCTAATGGGCACTCACGCATGCTCACAAGCTCCTCCCTTGTTTTTTGATATAAATTGCAGCACTTTGACTTGAGCATAATCGGGATCGACCCGATTTTGATATCCTTCTCTGCATACATTTTGTGGGATTTATCGCGTGAAGTATATTCGACATCCACGATCATGTCGCCCCGGTATGTTAGATCACGAATACGGCATTCATACGGCGTAACTTGCTTCGGTACCTGACCCTTACCAACTATTTCTCGTGGCCTGCAGACACGAATATTAGTATACCGTATCACAAAGTCCGGATCCACCGTGCTCTTGATTTCGACGTTCGATTCATTTAATAAAATTTTCTTTAGCTCCACATCAAGCAAGTGGTTGAATGAGGCTATATGATGGTTCAGAATTCCCTTCATTTTTATAATTTCCGGAAGAATTTCCAGCTTCCGCCGCTGGTACTCTTCGCCAAACTCATCAGAGGTTTCTGTCTTCACCATTCGTTTTGTATGGTTTCTTTATTCTTTCTACTCTTCTTTCCCCACTACTTGTTTATGCGAAGAGATCTCAAAGGAAGAGAGTCCAATGGGAGGAGTAAGAGTGTAAAGTTACACAAAATTCAAGATAACCATGAAAGAGTTGTAAATCCGCGTATCAGTATGAAAGAAAATAAAGAGGAAAACAAAAGCGTGCCCTAAATGTCGAGGAGCACTACACAGTATTCTTTGGATATTACCATTTATTTTTGGGATAACTTAATCTTTTCGACCTTTGCTATCATTTTTCTTCTTAACTCGTTTAGTTCTTCATTTTTACTTATCAAATCGGACAACTCGTCTTCCTCGTCTTTCTCTTCGTGATAGCCAAGACCTTTATCTGTCAATTCGGGATCACCTGCATTCGTTGTGTCTCGAAGGCGTTTACGTGTTTCTTCCACATCCACTGAAGTCGACTTGTTGAGTTCTTTTGCTTTCACTTTATAAAGCAAATAACTGGTATTTATCGAGTCTAGAGGATTTTTGCTGAGCCCCACACAGGTTTTTTTTTTGGTGAGCTCTAGCGGCGCGTCAAGATAACAGCAGCTGTGGATCTTCCACTTTTTCGGAGTCATCACCTCCTTGAAGAGACATCCAGACTTCGAATCATACCACATCACCGCCCCGTTTTCACTCACAGAGAGCACCAACGATGAACTCGTCTTACTGTTATACCCCAAATAAATGATAGGCGAATGGTGACCATCCTCTTTGGGTTTGCACACCACGGCAGGGCTCATTGGATGCGAGGATTGAGGTTTAACAGGGAGCATCTTGTTCGCCTCGGCTGAGTGAAACGAGCTAAAATGCAAATATCCTAGGCTAGTGCCCACCGCCAAGTCCCGATCGTCGTCGCTGATGGCAAGCGAGGTTACCTCATCCCCCACCATAAAAAGCCTCAGCTGCTCGCCCGAAAACGCATCAAATACCCGGCACGTGGAGTCTGACGAGCCGCTTACAATCGCCTCGCAATGGTGGAAGAAAACACAGCTGTTCACGCTAAGAGAATGCCCGGAGAAGGAGACCACCGGCTGCATCTCCGTCGTCGCCCCCGCCAGCAAGGAGGAGAGCGCCCACACCTTGCACATCGAATCCTCAGAAGCCGTCACCACCAAGGTGTTGTTGGACGAGATCGCGATGCAGTTGACCTTTCGGATGTGCGCTTTAAAATTCTTCAAAAGCTGTCCACTAATCAGGCTCCATGAAAAAAGACTGCCAAGCGCATTCCCCGCTATCATAAACGTCCCACAGGAGGTCACGGCACAACTGGTTATCGGAGAAGGGGTGAAACTCCGCAGCACCGGCTGCTGGCTGGCGGAAGAGAGAAAAAGTGAGCATCCCCTTGCCTCATTCGCGAGGATTAAATGATTGGCAGGATTAAAAACAGCGGCGTAGCGGTGGAGCTGACCAACCACGTACTGGCGTTGGATTATTTTGCTCTCCACATTGATCAGTACCCCTTTTGACTTTTCTCCTGCAATAAAAAGCATACTCGAGTACGCTACACAGGACTAAGCCAAATCTTTAAGGACTAGGCGAAAGACAGAGAAAAAAAAAGAATAGTGTGTAAACCATGTACGCGATGCGAACACCAATAAAGGGAATACATTTCATAAGCTACCCATTATTCACGCATAAATACCCTCCAATGTCCTTTTTAAATCGGTAAGATTAATGCCCTAGGAATTGAGAAACTCCTCTGGTGAAAGAGAAAATAGTACACACTGTAAGTTATGTCGAAAACAAGAATATACAATACAAAGAAGTACAAACTATTCACAATTTTTATAAAATGGTGTAATAATAATTGTAAGTAAGTGAATAATAGGAATAAATAGATTTATACACTTCTATATTGCAAAAATAAAGGATTCGATTAAACCAATATTCGCTATTTTCGTGTATAAAGATAAAAATTTCCCTCAAGATCACACCATTCTACCGACATTGGCTGCCAAACAAAATCCCTCATTTCGAAGCGCTCAAAAGCGTCTGGATCTCGAACTCTGGCGACCAAGCGATTATGTGGATAAAGATCTTCAAAACAAAAGATACGCGTTCCCACCGCACACGAGCGAAGATGCTCTGAGAGGTAGTGGTTTGTCGCTCTTGGAAGGAGCAGGTTAGCGGCCCAAATCACGCAGGGCGAGCGCATCAACTCATCCCCTTTGAGAAGCTCGCAGAGATCCGCGCAGCGGATCTCAACCTCGAGGGGTCGCCCGCAGCGGCGTTCGAGTTTGGGCCGCAGCGCCGCCCACGCGTCGCGGGCGACCTGGACGTTCCCCGGGTTAATCTCCACCCCAACACAGCGCATGCCCGTCATGAGGGCGACCTGAAAGAGGACGCTGCCGTTGCCGCAGCCGAGGTCGTAGAACGTCTCGCCCGGGGCGGGCCGCGCGAGCCGGACCAGCCGCGAGACGAAGGGCGGGAGGACGGACTTCGCGCAGAGCTCG